ACCCCCCCCCCCCCGAAAAACAAACCCCCAAAACACACCCCCCACAGAGGACATAAAAAGCTTCAAGTTTACTAAACTTTAAGTGAGAGTATATTCATATGCTTAGAAGCCTTCGCGTTTACTCTAGCTCAGCAAGGTGGCGCCTATGATTCAAGGGATCATAACTGACTGTTAAGTGTCTTCCTAGGCCACTCCAAAATAGGCAAAATCCATTAATCTCCTCTCTTAGAAAACTGATTTACACTAATATATTTTACATAGCTAGTAGAATAGGCAGGAAGTCACAAATGATGAATGATAACTTGCTATATACCAGTGACTTAAAATGGCAACTGTATAAACATGTTATGATATGATTATGTTATCATATCATAACATGTGATATCTTAATTTTCAAGGAAAAAGAAACCTTATTGGACATCTTGGTTCTCGACCTTCTACTGGAGTCAAATCCATCATTTAGTCTTCATGGGCAGGCAGAACAGGCTGTCCCAGCACTCGTACTTTTATAAGTAGTACCTTCAGGTCAGCTGTGCTCAACTGAAGCACCAAGGATGTTTATAACCACAGATAAAAAGAATATACTCACTTCAACAGTTCGCCAATCTGGCTTGGCAAGTAATGAAGTCCATTACAGGAAATATTAAGCTCTGTCAGAGTAGAGATCTCGCACAGTGATACAGGAAACTCTCCGAGTCTATTATGAGACAGATTCAGGCTCTTCAACTGAGAAAACCTATTAGCAAGAACATTAGTTAATTCACAAACCTCCATGATCTCAAGGCAAAAACATACAAAACCAGACATAAAGAATTTTTAAGTCTTTGTACACTGGCGATACAGTCAGCTAACTCATTATGGGAGTTTCTGCACAAATATTTTTGTCACTGATATTTTGTATCTCAGTGGTAATGCTGAAAGTGATCAAATATCATGGTTTTACTGCAGAAACTGATAACAACCTTCTACTCTGATTCCTGACAGGCTTCCTCCTAGTGACTGTTACTAAGATTAAGGAGACTAAAAGTACTCAGTTCAAAAAATTTACCTTCAGAGAATTATTTAGAGTAACAGTCTAGAATTATGCAGCTTGGGAAAACAGGAGCTGAAAACATTAACTAGAACTATTCTGAGAATAAAACAGAAGAGGGGAACACCCTTTTCAAGCTAGGCACAACAGAAGGCCTAGCAGAGTTGTAAAAGGGAAAACCAGGAAAGTGCTGACTTCACGCTGGGAAGCCCCAAGACCTGCATCCAGAGGTCCTTGGAAGAGATTCGACATCTAAAGTGCCACTTGCTTGGCAGACTGTACCATAGGTACAGCCACGCAAGTACTGATACAGCCCTCACAGTCACTACAGTCCCACCTGTGCTTAACAGATGGTTGCCTATTCCAGCTCCTTCTATCACTGTGCTAGGTCCAAACAAAGAGAAGAAATTGAGCATGGGTTGGGGTAACATGCAAGAGGTTCTTAGAAAGTTCCTACCTCTTTCTACAGGAAACAGAAGTATTTTTCCCCAAGTAATAACTCCCCATCCCAAACGGGAACCATCAGAAATTAATTCAGTGGGGAAATTAATATACTTTTATCAGACAATTGCAAATCTAATGTAATGTACCAGAGAAGTACTGCCTGGAAACATAGCTCATTCATCTGCTCCACCTACCATACTTTTTGCTAGGCAATGGTGAGTAGCTCTTACTTTGAAGCAAATTTTTTAATACAGGTAACAAAAACAAGGTTAATTAGCTTGAGGGAGAATATTACTGCTAGCTTGAGATGTCTTGAAGTATAAGACTGAAAGGTTTTGAAATTTTTTCTTCTTTATAGAGACTCCTTTTTCAGATTCAGAATACTTGGAATGATCTGTGTAGGAACTATGCATTATATTTCTCCATTTTGCTTTACAATCTTTGGAGGGGGGGGATTTTTTTTTTTTTAAAAGGGGGAGCATATCTGAAACTTGGACATGGATTGTTTGCTTTGAGAAAGCACCCTGTCATATAAATATGGGCATAGGCATTTTATGTTTGTTGCAGCCACAGACTCTCTTGTAATGCAACTGAAAGCCAAAGAGAAAGATGCTCTATTGGTAATAGCCTTCCTAAAGGGAATGTATTGTATGATGCAAAGATCTAACAATGATACAAAAATGAAGAACTTGCACACAGAACTTCACAACAATAATGGAAAAGAAGGAAACAATGAGGATAAACCTACAGATTTGAACTTTCTCATTAACTGGTTCAACCTCAAGAGACTTAGGAAAGATCACACTTCTCAGGTTTTGGAATCAGAAAACACTTTAATGAAACTGCTTTCTCTGGAGTCCTACAATGGCTTTTTCTATGGCACCTGTCCTTAACACCAAGCAGCTCTTTCTCTGTCATTAGCAGGGTGTGGTGAGAAGCTGCCCCAAGAGGAAAGGCATTAAACGCAACAGCATAACGAATTTTTAGAATTCATCCCTCTGCAACAACATCAAAGCAAACACAAAAGGGGCATAAAAGTTTCCAAAAGCTGGAGGGAAACTGGCACATGATAGAGGTTTGTCTGAGACTCCTCAAGCAGACTGTCACATTCAATGGGGAGGACAATAGTAAAAAGCCTTTTGAGTTCCCCTTCTGTTCCTTCTCCTTTGCCCCAATATTCTCAAGCAGTAGGGATGTAGGAATGGAATGCAAACCCAACTCTCATTCAAGCTGTATACATGAACCATGTATTATAGGGAATAAGGATCCTGAAATCGTTACGGCTCCTCAAGTTTTGGTCTGTGCTATCACAGGGCATATGGAGATTTCAGCGAAGAGGCATGGAAACACAGCAACAGATCCTCAATGGGATGATCATTCAGCAGCCCAAACTGGTGCTGGCTTGAAACATTCCCAATTTAACACAACATCCTGCTCTGCTGCCAAAGCATCCCAGTACAACTCTGTATCAACTAGCTAGAATAGTGATAATAGACATGCATATGTATACACATGCGTGCGCGCGCACACACACACACACTTATTAATGGAGATCAGACTTGATAATGTTTTCCAGAAAAGGGAGATACTTGAAAGTCTGTGTTACATAAAAAATAAGCTAGGAGACGTAACAAAACAGGTCGGGTTATTTAATTTCCTTTGCTTAACATTTCCCTTTTAATTATTTTTGTTCCATTATTATAGTTATAGTTAATTAGACTCCTAGAGCCTCAAAGATTTCCTCAGAGGAAGAGATCTGATCATTGCGAAAAATTCTGCTGTTCAGAATTATCAATCTCTAGGCACTGATAACACCTATTGCAAGTGAGCAAGTTTCTTCATTTGGGGCTGCGACCTGATAAACATCCTAAAAACCTCAGAAAGAAAATCTTTTCAAAAGGCAATGAGCAGCCTTATGTGAGCTACCTAATGCTACCTGTTTATTCAAGATTGTGTGAAGTGAGGGCTTCTTTTATGGCTTTTGTTTGTTTGAGGATTTCAGCTTCATCAGACATAGTCACTGCCAGGAAAAGAGTCGAGTTTCTGACATGTCAGATCTCTTGTTGACTACATGCAAGGTCAAAAGAAATTTCAAGCCCCTTTGCTGATCCTGTGAACCAAGGATACCGCATTTTAGAAAATAAAGTTCTGATACGGTTTTCAACATCACACAATGTATTTGAAGAGAGAAGTAGAAAGCAAAATCTTGAATTATTTTAAGCAGCTTTTCGAATAACAGAATCTATTACAATTCAGCTGTTAGAAAACATTTAAACAAGTTTGGAATTAAAACAAAACCAGACTAGACTCTGGCTCTCAATGAAACTGCAAAGAATTCCCATGGGTGAGCAATTTTTTTTCCCTGTATACCCTCATGGACACCTAGGTATCTCATTACTCTGTAGGAAGAAAAATGAAATAACCTGTAATAGGCCCCTAGAGATAAACAAAACCAAACCAAAACAAAAAAAAACAAACCAAAACAAAACCCTGCAGTTTTGCAAAGTTTCTCCAAATACATTTTTCTTAAGGCACAACGTGTTCCAAACAGAGTCATTTGACAACGTTACTGCAGGCTTCCTAACGGCTTTTGAAATTCATAGAGCAACTCCTTGAATTCTTTTTAGCATGGCTAGAGTAGATATCAACAGACTAATCTTCCTCTAGATTTTTATGGTTGTCAGGAATTAATTTAAAAATATTTTTGTAAGACTCCTTCACTTACCTAAAATGACTACATCATGCTTCCATATCATCACACAACTGCTACTCTCTTAAAAGCAGATCATTACAAGTTCCCAAAGCAAAGCTGGAGTCTCACAGGCCCTCTGCCAATTCCAAGTGCACATTAAGAACTTACCAAAACAGGCTTTTTCAGATCTGCACTTCTTCCTACAAACACTTACCCACAACAGCAGCATTATGCTTTCCCTCACCTTTTATTTTATACCCCAGAATGTTCTCTGTTTAGCAAGCAGCCTTGTATTACTATTGCATCTTGTCCATACATATGGCATATCACTCCACAAGGCTCATCTCTGATCAAACTTAGCACAAAGAATCTGTGGAAGGGAGTTAATGAATACTGTAAATGGTTGGAAGCGTATGCCTGCCTGCGCTGTTCAGTTCTGCTTCCTAGCCCCCTCATTTGTTAGAGCTTCCTGGAGATCAATCTTTTTACCATCCCACGAGAATGGGCAATACACTCCCCCTCCTCTTCATCCCTGGATGCACATGTCAAGAACTCCAAATGTAGAAGAAAAATAATTCTTTGCAGACCTGCAAAGAGAGTCAAGACTCCCTGCTCCACTTGATCTCATAAAATTGTGTCGTAGGTTGAGGTAGATGATGTCTTGACTGTAGAAGAGGTGCTCAGGTACTTCCTCAAGGCTGTAGCATGAAAGATCAACCATGCTAAGTCGCATAGACACAACCTGAAAAGAAGGAGGAAGAGCTGCAGCTGTGCAACAATTTTTCCCTGAAAGTCTAATGGAAGGCTGAAGAATGCAAGTAGCAAACAATCTGCAAGAACATGAAAGAACCCCCTTATACCCACCAGGTGGAGTCCACGCAGGAAACAGCCCACACAGTATGAGTTTATGCCATTTGCTACTATTGTTTCTGCAAGTCCCCTGACAGGGATGCATATCTGGATACCAACTAGGACGCACTGAAAGCCCTGCTCTATATGTGCAATGGGCACTGCCTAAAAGCTAGACTGTAAGAGAGCCAACCTAATGGAGAAAAACATATCTTTGGCTGAGGAAACTCTGCTGAGAAAGCATGATCTCTGAGTGCCTTCCAAAGATGCAAGCAGCAACGGGAAGCAGTTGACTTTCCAGTTCAGACCTTTAAGGTTTACAGAACCTCTGCTTGGACTAGCTACCTCTTCCCACTTTCTTTTATTAGCTTGTTCAGGGTATAATATTGGAAACATAACCTGTTATGATGAAAAGGCTTCATAAATTATAGTTTTGCAGCATTTCATAAAGTCTTTGCAAATATCAGATCTCCTTTCGTTAAGCATGCTTTGTTTCAAGGTCTTCGGTGCTTCCTTCCAGATTTTATGACCTGCTTTATCCTGAACTCATTTCATACTTCATAATATCATATATATACATGAGGTCAAAGTGTGGCTCGGCATTAAGCTATTGCCATCTAATTGTATTTTAACGTGGAATAAAGATGCAGCTCTGAACAAACTACACTTCACTTGCTGACCTATGATCTCTGTGTAAACTCAAACCAATCAGGCTAGCCCCATGCCAGCCCAGGCCACAGTTCAGGCAGATTAAAGTATGGCAATAGGTGCAATTTATAGGTTTCTACGGCTGTAAAGTCAGCCAGTCCCCGGGGTTTGTTCTAGTGACGTGTGATTAGCCACTCCCAATAGGTGCAGCAGGGGTGGAAAAATGCAGAACTACTACTCAACATTGTTGCACAGGCAGAGAGAGAAGAGAAGGCTAAAAGAAAGCCTCTGCAGTCCTGAGCATGTAAGAAATGAAGAAAGCTGGAAAGCGTCCTGGGTACTTTCTCCAGCACCATAGCTTCATCCCTGCCTGCGTACCAAGCCCACATCAGAAAACCTTTCTCACCCCTGTGTATCCACCACCCAAACTACCGCAGTCTCCAGGGCCTCACCGTGGATGCCTGTCGGTGCCACCGCTGGCACTCTGCCAGCGTTTCAAAGGAAACATGGTATGTTTGAGCTTGTGCTCCAGCAGATGTGAAAGCAAGTGTGTACTGCCGACGTTTCATCTCTTCCACCTGCAAAGGGAGAATTGAAAACAAAACAGTCTGCCTAAACTCCAGCAATTACAGTGGATCTGAAGTCTAGGGTGAGGCATTGCCGACTACCAGTAACATTACATTTTGCTGAAAACACAGTTGTAAAGTTATTGGAGAGAAACACAGAAGTAAATCATAGAATCATAGAATAGTTTGGGTTGGAAGGGACCTTCAAAGGCCATCTAGTCCAACGCCCCTGCCATGAGCAGGGACATCTTCAACTAGATCAGGTTGCTCAGAGCCCCGTCCAACCTGACCTTGAACGTTTCCAGGGACGGGGCATCCTGTCCATTACCTCTCTGGGCAACCTGTTCCAGTGTTTCACCACCCTCGGCGTAAAAAATTTCTTCCTTCTATCCAGTCTAAATCTACCCTCTTTTAGTTTAAAACCATCACCCCTTGTCCTATCGCAACAGGCCCTACTAAAAAAGTCGTCCCCATCTTTCTTATAAGCCCCCTTTAAGTATTGAAAGGCCAAATCCTTCTTAACATATTTCTGCTGAAGCAGATCCAAGAAGTAGTAATTTCCAGAATGCCCGTTCACAACATTGGCTACTAACGTGAAAGCAGAACTAGTGTCTCTTCGTTTTATTAGCCTTAAGACTACTACCTAAAGCAGAGCAAGTAGAAAGGGGTTGTACACCTCTCTGCACATGTTAACGCAGTAATTTGTTACAAAAGCCTAGGTTAACCTCTTGTGGATAATACCCATCACTGTAAACCCTTCTTCCTTTCTAAGCCACAGGAAGTTAACCAAATAAAGTCTTACCTTCCCTCCAACGAGAGGCAAGATGTGCATCTTCCCTGTGTGGCTATCTTTCACAGAGGACACAATGAGGCACGTACCACAGAGAATTACCAGGCGCTCTGCCCACTTGTGCAACTGGGTCTTTCCTTTGCGTACGTTATAGACTCCAGAGAGCAGGATGCGATCTAACTGTTCCACTTGACATGGCTTTTCTGAAGAAAAAGGGGACATTAGCATTTACTTTCCATTCGTTCTTCATTCTCAGCTGCGAGTACAAACAGCAACACAGCTGTAACATGCAAAATTAGTTATTGTAAAGAACAAGTAAAGACAAGACAAGTTGCACTTTAAAAAAAATCTCAAGCAGAGGACAAGCAACTTCCTCAGTCAGTGCAGTAATGTCTGATAAGCAACCACTGTGTGCCTTTCAGTACAACGTTATAACAGCTGCCATGTAGCGTGTTTTTAATTTACAGGTAATTACAGACCTTAGCAGACTTATACACTTGCCAAAGATCCTTTATTCAGATGCAATAGAAAAGCAATTTCAAACTCTTGTTGAGTCAGCTGAAGTCACAGAAACCATCAAATAAGTGGCTTCTACTGGGCTTTAAAGGAAGGCCTGGAAAATCAGCTACAGAAGAAAGTTATTTCCCTGAAGAGGATTCCAGTGAAAGAACTCGAGCACTGACTGTTACAGCTGTGTTATATGCACTGCTAGCTATGACTCTAACAGGCAAATTAGAACTCTACTTCAGCCTTCTAATGCACATAACACTTACTTTTAGGTCATC